CGCCGTGTTCAGGTGAGTTCGGGCCGGGACGGCGCCGCGGCCGGGTCTCGGGGTCGGGGGTACGCGGGGGCCCCGGAGGACACGACGCCCCGGGTCTCTCCCCTAGAGCCGCAGGCCTTGCGACACCTGGACGCGCGCGCCTGTGGGGGGCGGGGGGGGGAGCAGCGCGCGCTCGGCCAGTGCAGACCTCTCAGCTCGGAAATTTTTCTTCTAAATCCGTAACCTGCAAAATACATTCGGTTTGTAAGATTTTCAAACAAGTAAGGGTTTAAGCAGCTGCCTTGGGAATTTTGTCGTTGAAATTGGCTTGTATATAATTTCTTTCAAAAATACCTCAAATGATTGGTTTCCGTGTGCATCTGCTTTCTCTCCCCTGCTGGGTTATAGATCCCTTGAGGGTAGGGATTTATGAATCCTTGGCACAGAAATACTAGGCTGAATTACTGAACTGCATATATGAATAATATACAAAGATTTTCTTTGCTTTTTCCATCTAATCCTCTTGCTTTTATAACAAATAGAAAAAAATGAATGTCACCATTTCCCAGGTGTTCACTGTCATCCAGATACTTCTTTTATTTTATTATAAACTGCAGTTAGCTCTGATATACTTGGGGCTCATTCATTTTCAAATTATCATTAGCTTACTTGAAATCCTACAGTTTTCTCTGACCTGGAACAAATTTTGCAGTTTCTTCCTACGATCAAGCTGACCTGAGTTCTAGAAATACAAATTAATTTGTATGTTATCCAAAATTAAATTAAATTGACAATAAATTTCCTACAGAAACATCATATTGTGGGGCCTGATAAAATATATTTAGAGATATTTGCCTGACTGCTTTCCCCGGCATAGTATATCTGGTTTAAGAGGGTCTTTAAGACAAAATTATTTTGCAGTTACTTTTAATTATAGATATGACCATTTACGTAAGGATACCAATGCCCTTCTCTTTTAGGGGCAAGTCACAAATAACAGAGATCTCTATATTGGGCATAGTATATCTGGTTTAAGAGGGTCTTTAAGACAAAATTATTTTGCAGTTACTTTAATTATAGATATGACCATTTACATAAGGATACCAATGCCCTTCTCTTTTAGGGGCAAGTCACAAATAACAGAGATCTCTATATTGAACATGGAGATAGAGTTCTTGATCCATTTTCATGTTAGTAAAATGAGTTTCCTCCTAGTTAATAAAGCAAAACTGGACAAACTAGCCAATGGAGAACTGAAGCAGAAGGTGCAGGGGGGGAGCTGAAGAGGAAGCCTCTGCCCTAGGTTATAACTCTGATTTTCTCCACCAGGAAGGAGTGCCCAGACAAGAGATTCTGTTTTGGGAGTTTACAAAATATACTGAAATGTCAGGCTCCACACCGTTTAAGATGAGATTAGTTCATTTGGACCTTAAAGGAGCTCCACCAAAGGTCTCATACCTCTCAGAGGTAAGGACTCCCTTTTCCCTCTAGAGAACCCCTTCTTGACTTGGGTTTGGTCTTTGAAGTGGTGAGCGATATTCTGTGGAATGGGTGCTCGGAACACAACTACAGGTGCTGGGTGGGGGCAAGATGGAGGCAGTGGCACAGATTTCGAATTTCCCCTATATCCTTTCTCAAAAACAGAACAACCAAGATACCAAAAAGAAAAAAAGAAAAGACAGCCTCTTTCTTTTGGGCTGAATTGTGTCCTCCCAAAAAGATACGTTCAAGTTCTTAACCCCTGGTCCCTGTGAATGTGACCTTTGGAAATGGAGTCTTTGCAGATGGAATAAGGATAAGATGAGGTCACACTGGATTATGGTGAGCCCTAATCCATGGCTAGTATCCTTAGAAGGAAAGGGAGGTTTAGACAGAAGACATCCACAGGGGAAATGATGTGAAGACACGCAGGAGGACACCACATGGTGATGGAGGCAGAGACTGGAATGTTGCACTCAGAAACCAAGGAGTGCCAAGGGTGCTCGCACTCACCAGAAGCCAGAAAGAGTCAAGGAGGGATCTTCCCCTAGAGCCTTGAGAGAGAGCACGGCCCTGTCAACACCTTGATTTTGGACTTATGGTTTCCAGAACTATAAGAGAATAAATTCCTGTTGTTTTAAGCCACCTAGTTTATGGTCATTTGTCACAGCAGCCTTAAAAACTAACATACTCTTCAACAAAAACTAGGTGCCAGGGTATCCCCATTAATTCCAAAATACAGTGGATGAGGCCAAACCATAGAGAGCATACCACCATGTGGGGTGGGCGCTGGGCAGGAGGTGGTCGAGGGAAGAGAAAGGGAACTCCAACAGTGCTGAGACTAGAGGACCCAGAAGGCAGCTCCAGAAGTAAAGGTCTACAGTAAGAAACTGAGAAAGGCTTTACTGGGTCCAGTGTGAGAATGACCACAAAGAAAGGCAAAAGAGGGTGCAGAGGAGACCCAAGGCCACAAAGCTCTCAGAAACACCTCACAAAACTTCCTTCCAGAAGGTCAGAGCCCCCCAAACTAAGTACACAATGTTGGGAAAACAATCTACATTGAACTGGGCGGGAACACCAATGCTAAAGGAGAGAGAAGGTTCAGATATTGGGGGAAAGGGGTCCAGAGAAGGAAGGGATCAAAAAGTACTGCTATACCAAAAAGAAATAGCTATACCAAGCCTGCAATTTCTAATACCTGATGGCAACAGTACAGGAGGGAGCTCTGGGCATGGCCCTCTCCATCCCAAACACAAGAACCTGTTCTTCAAAATGAGCAGCAGAAAAGCAATGTGATTAAACACCATACAAAGGCATTGTAAGAGGAAAAAAGATAATGATTTGAGTAGTTTTGCAACAACCAAGGTGCATCAGGGACACAGAACCACGGCACACATGAACTGGTACCATGACATTCCAAAGTAAGGTAAAGAATATTAAGAAAATAGGGCCAGCCTGTGGCTCACTCGGGAGAGTGCGGTGCTGACAACACCAAGCCTACAGGTTCGGATCCTATGTGGGATGGCCGGTTCGCTCACTGGCTGAGCGTGGTGCTGACAACACCAGGCCAAGGGTTGGAATCCCCTTGCCAGTCATCTTTTAAAAAAAAAAAAAAAAAAAAATTAAGAAAATGATAGAAGCTATGAAAGAACAGCATAAGTCAGAAATAGAAAAGCCCAGAAATGTGATGACTACATGAAAGGAGAGTGTGAAAAGATTTCCTATGGAGCTCAGGAATGAATTATAAAAATAAAAAATTTCAGAAATGAACACTAAACTGGAAGAAGCACAAAAGTGAGTAGACACCATGGAATTAAATGACACACAAAAAATCAAACATGAAGACATGAAAAGGCATCTTGATGGATTAATAGCTACAGAAATAAGGAAAGAAGGTCCAACTTACATATAACTGGAGGCTCTATTTCAGTCATCTGCTGCATGACAGTTGCTGCATGACAGATCACCCCAAATTTAGAGGCTTAAGGCAACAATTTACTACCGCTCATGTTCCTGTGGGTCAGCTGTGTGGCACTGCTGATCTGTCCTGGCCTCCCTCATGTGGTCGCAGTCTCCTGACAACAAGAAACCTCTGATAGTCACAGATGGCCTTACTCACACATGTCTGGCTGACAGTCGGCTGGGGCACCTGGACTCTCCAGGTGTGTCCTCCAGGAGGATGTTCTCAGCATTGCAATCCCAGGTAGTGCCGCAGGAGCAGGAGCAGAAGCTGTGAGGCATCTCGAGGCCTGGGCTCTGCAACTCACGGTGTTCTGCCACCTCTCACGACTGCAAAGGCAAACCGCAAGGCCAGCTGAGACGCAAGAGAAGGAAGCAGACTGTCCCTCCTGATGAGAGAGCTGCACAGTGCAGCAGCCATGATTTTCAGTTCTCACCAGTCCCTGTAAGAGAGAAGCAAAGCAGTGCTGCACAGCAGGTGTAAGTAACTGCAGTTCAAAGCACTCTTCTGAGACTAGAGAGCACTGGAGTCTGCATATTACAGGGCATGCTACATACTTGGAAAAAATGTATCTAGATAAAGTGCAGCAAGACATCTTGCAGTAAGTTGATCAGACTTTAAGGAAAATGAAAATGAGAAAAAAAATGTTTGGGGCATACGGGAAAAATCCCCAAGTCATACATAGGGAAAGAAAATCAGACTGGCATCAGACATTTAGACTGTGACGTTTTAAGACAGAAGGTAAGGGAGTAACAGGTTTGAGATGCCCAAGAAAATTGAATGAGTCAAGGATAGTGTTTCCAGCCAAACTGGTCTTCAGGACTGGCAGGTTGGCTCTGTTGGACAGAGCACGGTGTTACAACACCAAGGCCACGGGTTCGGATCCCTGTACTGGCCAGCCCCCAAAAAAGAAAAAAAAAAAATGGCCTTCAAGTATAAAAGCCACAGACCAACTACTTTCTAAGAACTGAGTGAATTTGCTAAAGAACATGCTTCAGACCACCAAGATATGATTGGAGAAGCTTCAGCATCAGAACTGGAGGATTTACAGGTGAAAAGATATGTTGTTTAGTATTTGCTTTAAAGTACTCCAGCCAAAAAAGAAAAATGGAAATTAGGTGAAACAAAATTGGCAAAATGTTGACAATTGTTGAATCTCAGTGATGGGTGGATAGGGGTTCAGTACATAATTTCTCTACATTTGTGTGTATTTGTACAGTTTTATAAGAAAACCTTTTCTGCCCCAGTCCAGTGCCAGATGCCAGGAAGTCACTCGTGTCTGCTGTTTAGCAGCCACTCAGGTACCCTCAGCACAAGGGACCATTCCTGACCCCCGTGACAGAACTGCCATCTAGGCCACACAGTGGTCAGATGGCCATGAGAGGCTAAAAAGGAAATCAGAAGCAAAAACTCGCAGCACAAGGGACCATTCCTGACCCCCGTGACAGAACTGCCACCTAGGCCACACAGTGGTCAGATGGCCATGAGAGGCTAAAAAGGAAATCAGAAGCAAAAACTCAGGAAAATAGTAAAAGGCTGTGAGTGTTACTTTTCATGTGTCCAGTGCGCGTTCCAACCTGGGCTACACTGCTTCTTGCCACCGTCAGTCTGCCTCTTTGTGTTTGCAGTCAATTATTAATTATCCATTTTGTGAATTATCTACAGCTAATTTTTAGTCCCAAACTAAGTTCCTGCTTCCATTCAGCATGCTTCAGAACTTTCCTATGTTTGAGGGGAAAGAAAACTTTGACAATAACATCAACAAAAGGATGTTACAAATCTTAGAAGATAAGTCAACAACCCTTCTTTGGAGATTGGTAGCTGTTAAATACCCTCAGAGTCCCCCTTCATTAGCGCCAGCTTTGTGCTGTCTTTTTATCCCTGGCCTTGATGCCAGAGTGTAAGACAGTCTCAGTTGTTCTGTGTCATACACGTGAACAGGTCCTAAAAATCCTTGAGGATAAGGAGGTTCTTATCCTTTGAAATAAAAAGAAAAGGAAGTGGTGGGAGAAGGCAGGGGGGGAGACCTCTGAGCACAGCCCAGGAACAGACAGGCCTCTGCTCGTTCTTTAACCCCCTCCTTTGCCACCCTCTCCTTATGCCTTTCCTCCCCAAGGTGCTGACCCCAACTGTTCAGAGCCTTGTTGGTCCCCCTGGTCTCCCCCTTCCCAGTTCTCTGTGTGTTAGAAGTGCCCCTCCAGCCTGTCTTCCAGCCCTCCCCAAAGCAAGGCTCCTCTGTGCTGTGTCTGCACAAGGTGACTGGAGCAGTCGGCTTCTGTCCCTCCTGGCCTGAGCCCTCCTTCCCCAGCTGTGCCACCAGGGCTGACTGCCGTTTGTGGCAGTTCTGTTCTATAGCATATTACGTAACCCTCTAGTGCAGAATAGACCTGTCACTGGACTAGAGAGAGTTTGATTTGGCATTACATAAAGTACACGCTCCAGACTTAAAAGTTCCAGGGAAATAGGATTATCAACTGCCATCCATCCACCACAAGCTGAAAAGGAGGATGTCTGCACACTGCACGCGTATCACTGGTTCCAGTGGTCACACCTTCGTAACATCCCCGTGTTTCCCCCCAGATCTTCCCTCTGTTCCATGATCTAGGTGCAAATGGCCTCCTCATTGAGTATGAAGACATGTTTCCCTACGAGGGCCACCTGCAGCTGCTGAGGGCCAAGCACGCCTACAGGTACTACCGTGCTGCCAGCTGAGAAAACAGAGACTCCGGGGGCAGGGGGCAGCAACCAGGCGTGTGGGTGGGGCTGCCAGGAAGTTAGCCTGGAGGGTGCATTCCTTCTCTGTCTTTTTTTAAGTGCATGTCTTTAATCATAAAAATTAAAACACGTTATAAAAATCAAGCATGTTCACTGAAGAGAATTTGGAAACTTTTTAAAAATTTTTTTATTGAATCAAAATTGATTATACATATTTTGGGGGTTCAACATTGAGATATGTTGATCAAATCAATATTACTAGCATATGTATTGTTACAGATTGTAATTATTCTTTATGCCCCTTGTCTAATCTCTCCCCATCCCCCCTCCCTTCCCCATCCCCCCTCTAATCACCCTAGATTTCTTCTCTCCTTCTGAAAGAATAATGGTTACTCTGCTGTCCCCTCCCTTCCCCCTCCCCCCTCTAATCACCCTAGATTTCTTCTCTCCTTCTGAAAGAATAATGGTTACTCTGCTGATTTGTTGCCTAGATGATCTGTCCAATGCTGAGAGGTGTGATCAGGTCCCTCAATACTATCATAGAGCAGATGCTTCTTCTGTCACTCTGAAATGGGCTTTGTGGAAGGGAGACATCATCTTCTTTATCTCTACTGGTGACTCTCCTTGTGTAAATGCACTCTAAGTGGCTGGCTGACCATCTGCGTGGAGGTTGTGGTGTCTAGCTGCTTTCGCAGCAGCCATGGTTATTGTGGTGGCTGTGGTGGGCCATGGAGGTGATGTTTTTGGCATACTTCTTGGTGCTGGTGGTGTGCCTGGTTGTGGAGAGTGTGGTTCCCAGCTCCATACCTGGAGTCCCCAGGCGAGCCCCAAGGCACTGGCATGGTGCGCCTGGTTATGGGAGGGTGGTTCAGTCCCTGGCTCCAAGCCTCAGGTCCCTGGATGGGCCCTGAGATGCTGACGCATTGCCTGGTTGTGGGAGGGGAGTCCGGTCCCCTTCTCCAAGCCTTGGTTCCCCAGGCAGGCCCTGAGGCACTGGCATGGTGTGCCTGGTTGTGGGAGGGGGGGTTCAATCCCCAGATCCCTGTCCCAGGCTGGGCCCCCAGGTGGGGCCCCAAGGCACTGGTGGTGTGAGTCATTGTAGGCAGGGGGCCCATTCCCTGGCTCCATGCCTCATGTTCCCTGGCAGGCCCCAAGGCACTGGTTATGTGCCTGGGCCAGAACTAACTTTTTGTCCTTTGCTTACTTCTAAAATAGGGGAACTTCATGTGGGAACCAGTACTTGAGCTCTGTGGTTGAGCTAAATTGCTGCTTTGCTGCTGTTTCCCTAGGGAAGGCTTTTTGTGCAGCTCAGGCTTTAACGGTTGACCTTATAGGTACTTCTGGCTCTCCAGAGGCTCAGTGCACCTGGGTTGTGTGAAAACTCTGATCTGGGCCTGAGTTTTTTCATCAAACTGTACCCCATGCAATTCTGCATTCCCAATCAGTCTCCTCTGAGTGGTCCTGTGCTGATTGGGGGGCAGATTGGCTGTCCTTGCTGTGCCCCAGTGTTCTCCCAGTGAGCCTGTCTCCCCACCACCCGTGCTCCAAACACTTCCCATGGGATGACTCACTGGCCTCTGAATGACTCCCTTTTTAAACTTGTTCTGGCTCCTTGCTCCTGTGTGGGTCGTCGGGAACCCTACTAGTGGTCTTGCTGTCCTGGGGGCCGCCAAGGCCCTCTTCTCCCCTGCTACCTCCAAGTAACTCCATCTGAAGGGCACAGCTGCGGCTTCTGCCGGCTCCTGCTCCGTGCACTCAGCAGCTCCAGCCTTAAAGCAGCCACAGCCTGAAACGCTCAGAGCAGTTTTTTCATTCTCTCACCGTGGATTCTCCCACCTTCATGACCTCTGTAGGTCTCTCCTCCTCTTCCCCTGAGCTCCAGTGTCCCCAGCTTGGCTGNGCATATGTATTGTTACAGATTGTAATTATTCTTTATGCCCCTTGTCTAATCTCTCCCCATCCCCCCTCCCTTCCCCATCCCCCCTCTAATCACCCTAGATTTCTTCTCTCCTTCTGAAAGAATAATGGTTACTCTGCTGATTTGTTGCCTAGATGATCTGTCCAATGCTGAGAGGTGTGATCAGGTCCCTCAATACTATCATAGAGCAGATGCTTCTTCTGTCACTCTGAAATGGGCTTTGTGGAAGGGAGACATCATCTTCTTTATCTCTACTGGTGACTCTCCTTGTGTAAATGCACTCTAAGTGGCTGGCTGACCATCTGCGTGGAGGTTGTGGTGTCTAGCTGCTTTCGCAGCAGCCATGGTTATTGTGGTGGCTGTGGTGGGCCATGGAGGTGATGTTTTTGGCATACTTCTTGGTGCTGGTGGTGTGCCTGGTTGTGGAGAGTGTGGTTCCCAGCTCCATACCTGGAGTCCCCAGGCGAGCCCCAAGGCACTGGCATGGTGCGCCTGGTTATGGGAGGGTGGTTCAGTCCCTGGCTCCAAGCCTCAGGTCCCTGGATGGGCCCTGAGATGCTGACGCATTGCCTGGTTGTGGGAGGGGAGTCCGGTCCCCTTCTCCAAGCCTTGGTTCCCCAGGCAGGCCCTGAGGCACTGGCATGGTGTGCCTGGTTGTGGGAGGGGGGGTTCAATCCCCAGATCCCTGTCCCAGGCTGGGCCCCCAGGTGGGGCCCCAAGGCACTGGTGGTGTGAGTCATTGTAGGCAGGGGGCCCATTCCCTGGCTCCATGCCTCATGTTCCCTGGCAGGCCCCAAGGCACTGGTTATGTGCCTGGGCCAGAACTAACTTTTTGTCCTTTGCTTACTTCTAAAATAGGGGAACTTCATGTGGGAACCAGTACTTGAGCTCTGTGGTTGAGCTAAATTGCTGCTTTGCTGCTGTTTCCCTAGGGAAGGCTTTTTGTGCAGCTCAGGCTTTAACGGTTGACCTTATAGGTACTTCTGGCTCTCCAGAGGCTCAGTGCACCTGGGTTGTGTGAAAACTCTGATCTGGGCCTGAGTTTTTTCATCAAACTGTACCCCATGCAATTCTACATTCCCAGTCAGTCTCCTCTGAGTGGTCCTGTGCTGATTGGGGGGCAGATTGGCTGTCCTTGCTGTGCCCCAGTGTTCTCCCAGTGAGCCTGTCTCCCCACCACCCGTGCTCCAAACACTTCCCATGGGATGACTCACTGGCCTCTGAATGACTCCCTTTTTAAACTTGTTCTGGCTCCTTGCTCCTGTGTGGGTCGTCGGGAACCCTACTAGTGGTCTTGCTGTCCTGGGGGCCGCCAGGGCCCTTTTCTCCCCTGCTACCTCCAAGTAACTCCATCTGAAGGGCACAGCTGCGGCTTCTGCCGGCTCCTGCTCCGTGCACTCAGCAGCTCCAGCCTTAAAGCAGCCACAGCCTGAAACGCTCAGAGCAGTTTTTTCATTCTCTCACCGTGGATTCTCCCACCTTCATGACCTCTGTAGGTCTCTCCTCCTCTTCCCCTGAGCTCCAGTGTCCCCAGCTTGGCTGGTGTTACATTTTTATAGTTGTAAATTGGTTGATTTGTGGAAGAAAGTGACGCTGGGGACCGTCTATTCCTCCATCTTGACCGGAACTCAAGAATTTCGGAAACATTTAAAAGAAAATAAGCATCAGCTACGACCCCCACAGGAAGAGCTGTGATTCATGTTTCTGCCGTCTGGTCCTTTTGTCATGGAGAATGCTGACGGCATGGATGTGGGGAGGTCACCGTGCACGGGAGGGGGCTGCTCTTTAAGGCCACTGTTGAGGTCTTGATTTGGGGAGTGAAGAGGAAAGGGGGAGATCAGAAGTGGTGGTGACAGGTGTTCAGCTTTATGGTTACAGGTCTCCATGTAAATCAATAACAAGTAGCCCAAAAGAAAAGTGGGCAAAGGACATGAACTGGCAGATCCCAAAAGAAGACATAAAAACGGCCAACAAACACGATAAAATATTCAAACTTCTCATAGTAATCAAAGAACTTAAAACAACAAGGCAACACCATTTTGGCTACCAAATTGATGAAGCTTTTTAAAAAGTATGTGCTCTGTGTTCTGAGGGTGAGAAAGCAGACCTGCTGGTGAGGGCCACTCTGGGGGGCACTTTGGCTCCATGTGTCAAAAGCCCTGCCCCACGAACATGTGGGCAGACCAGAGGAGAGGAGGAGTGTTAAGCTGTGGCGATACTGTCAGTGGTGTGCATTTTCTTTTATATTCTCGTGTTTTTCTTCTACAATGAACACGTTTGTTTNGTTTGTTTTTCCAAGTGAAAAAGGTGCCAGGGTTCCTTTGAAGTTTGAAACAGGTGTATTTAAAGACAACTTTATATAATTAATAAATGTATAGAACTGATCAACTTAAGAGATGGTTCAAGCACATAGATCACCAGGAACAGCTTTGAGAGAGAGATTCATAAATGACAACTCATGACAGAGCTTAGGAAAAATGAAGAAGCCGATGGGCGTCAGGCCCTCAGGATGTGGCTGTCATGCAGTGGGTGTTGACCCTTTCTTGCCCTCCAGCTGGTCTGCAGCCTACTCTGCAGTTTGAGTCCTGTAGCCAGTTTCTTGTGCGATGCAGACGACGCCATCCTCCTGGAGAGGTGGGGTGTGCATAGGTGGTAAAAAGCAAACCGTTACCTGAGAATGTACTGGAGGATCATTTCCCCAGATTCTAGAGCAGGTTCCTTCCCTGAAACCTTGAGAACCATCTATCGAGTTTGTGGAGTTAGCGACCTCCCCATTTTCCAGGAGAGCCCTCCAGGGCCTGCCAAGGAAGGATTGGGGGAGCATGAAGGAGCCATGCTGACCATGCTGCATGAACTTCTCCCTGCGTGATTTTTGTCTCTAGCCCCTCTGAGGTCAAGGAGATCCTGCACCTGGCCAGACAGAGTGAGCTGGAGGTCGTTCCCTTGGTGCAGACGTTCGGACACATGGAGGTGAGGGGCAAGCAGTGGAAGGTGCCTGGTGCTGGGCGGGCATCTGGGGTGTGGGCAGGGCCGGCTTGGCCCAGGTTAGGAGCAGCAGGGCCTGGCAGGGCATGGGCGGCAACAGCTCAGCGCTGCACAGAGAGGCCACTGCCCCCCCGAAGCCGTTGCCCTGCCAACAGCTGGCGAGCTCACCACTCTGCATGAGGGCAGCCTCTCAGCTGAGGAACAGAGGTAAAGAGCCTGAAAGAGGGTTTGCGTGACTCCCGGGCAGCCCTGGGGGCCGGGTGGTTTTCTCCTTTTTAATTGCATTCATCAAAATAGTACTGTGCAAGGTAAAATACAGTATTAAGAAAAGAAAACATGCTTTCTTTCCATTTTCTGTTTGAGTCTTTTTCTCACTTAATATTGAAAATGTTTTCTCATGGGCTGAGCCCGTGAC